ACTTCTTATATATTACTTCTAATACCTATGTTATAATCACAAATTTTCCTTGAATTATATTCGCATCAGTTATATATTTGACGTATTACAGTTGATGTATGTCATTATTTCACTGGAAGAAAAAAAGAAAAAATATGAAACGAGACGAATAGATTAAAAAATGTAGATAAACAATTTTTTATAAGATAGAAAAACACGATTTATGTGGTTTTCATATTACTCTGACGCTGTTCTAACAAATCAAAGTGACATTTATGGAAGTTTTTTGTTTAATTGGTTCACGATTACACTGTCAAAGAGAAACTATGCATAGCAATAGTCCTGAATTTAAAAGTAAATTTGGAGTTATGCAGTTATTATTTACTCAGTTTACTGTTTTCATCTGACAGTGACATGGATTCATTACATGAATTTCCACCTTTTCAAGCAATTTTATTACCTCGATGATACGTACCTAACAGGAAAAAACAGGAAAATATTTATATTTTTAAGATAAAAGATTCTATTTTAGAAATAATATGGTTGCAGATATATTAATATATGTATATTTCATGGGAATTTATATTTGATTAAATTGTTTACAAAAATGGTTTTCTTGTACCATTGAAACAAGAAAATTAATTAAATTAATTAAATATATATGGTTTTTTGAAAATAAGTTTAGTAGACATGATCATGAGAAGTTTCCTAATAATTACTTAAAGGTAATTACATTAATGGCTAATAACTTGAAAATGAAAATATTTGTGACTTTCAAGAAGTGTCATTTAGTATATAAGTATTATATTTATATACTTAAATTATACTTATATAAGTATTCAAACAAGCAAATGTGATAAGTAAAAAGGTATAAATTATATACTAGATTTATAAACTTATATACTAAATTGTATAGTATACAAAATTATGTACTATTACATAGTAAAAGTAACATAAAAATGATCAAATCTGTGATTAAAATAATGAAAATTGTTAAAATTATTGAAGCTATTGAAATTATCATTGAAATATTTAAAATTTCCAATATTATTAGCACAGTTATTAGAATTGTCAAAATTAATATTAAAATTATCAATATTGTTATCGAAATGATTAAAATTGTCAAAGTTGTCATTAAAATTATTAGTGTTCAATCTAATTATTCATTTTTTCTTTTTACTGAAATACCTCGATTCGATTTCCTTTTTATCTATGCAGTTCATTTATTTATTCGACCAACTTCCTTCATATTACATTTACACGTAATCATATTTTACGTCACGTTATAATTACAAAATTTGCAATGATTCAATTTCGAAATGATTTGAAAATGAAATACATTATTTGAGATACATTAAAAACAAGACGTATGAGACATTTTTACCATAAAATGAAGAAGCAATAGGATTAACGACTTTACCTAAATTAAAGTGTCAGATTTTAGAAGAATTATATGACAATGACTAAGAAATGTTTAGAATTATATAACTAAGTTTTGTTATTTACAATAACTATAGCTATATAGTAATTAAAGTTATCGTTTAAATGATACTTAAATTAAATGCATTAAATTTAAATTATATTCATTTAATTTTATTTAATCAATTCAATTATTCTATTAATTATCTATTTATTACTTGTTGTGATTCAAAAATTTTATTAAGCACGTTGAATATATTCTTTCATAAATATTTCTGTGTGGCTAGAAATAAAAAATAAATGTAAATTAATAAAAATTATACCAATATAATGATTCGTATTTGTAACATACTATTATACTAATATAAAAATGTGGAATTGAAAAGTGGAAAATTTCTTTTGAGTGAAAGATTATTTATACGTATTTATTAATTATAAAAAAATTCAAGAATTCTCAATTTGTTTATTTGCTTTTTGTTCTATGATTTTGTTTTGGAATTTTTTCGACATGGTATTAAGTAATACATGGTACAAAACGGATATTAGCAAGATAACGTAGTAACGAAGAAACCGAAGTATATAATTGTGTTGCAATTAAGTCATAAAATCTAGAAAAAGAAAGTTGGAAAAATGAGAAAAAGTAAAATATTACTACCGGAAATCTCAGGTTTAGATCGTGTTCTTCTCTTTATCTGCGATTAATTAAAGTTTGCACGATAAAAGGTATTATTGTTAATAATTTCATGAAAACATAAAACGAATTCATTCCCAGAAAAGAAAACGATAAATAATTGGAACGTTGAACTCTGCACGTATGTTACTTTCATAAAACATCTGACCGTACCTCAATTACTTACCAAATAATCCCACTTTTAATAAAAAATTATCTCACTATATTTTGGTTTTGGAAGCTATACAGATTAGTTTTCTAATTATCTGAAATTTTACATTTCATGTTAATTCTAGTTTCGCTAGAATTTTATTCCTTCCGGTATCAAATTTTATTCCAGTATAAACCAAATTTCTATTAATGTTGAACTACGTAAATTTAAAATAAATTAAATTATTATCGTCTAATCTTTAAAATTATATATTTATTCATATATTACTCTTTCTTACTATTTCAATGATTGTTAACTATTTTTCCAGTAATTTTGACTAATAATTCTAGTTTTCTGGAATTTTATTTTTCCAATTATTTTAGGTTCAGATAATGTAATTTTTTTTTCAATAATCCTAGTTTTCTAATAATTTCTATAATATTTCTATATAAATTGTGATTTAAAATAAAATAAATTATTATAATTTAACATTTAGGGTTATACATGGTATTAAAATTATATCTATGTATGTATACATTCTTTTTCTTAGTATTTCATGATTTAATTTTAAATCCATTCTGTTCTCTATTTATATCTGTACTCTACGAATATTCTTTTTTTTGTAATATATGAGCCATTCACAGCACAAATTGATTAACTCCACTTTTTGAAAAATCTTAAATTTAAGTGTCAAAGCACTTGGTATAGTCATAACTTTTTATATTTAAGATTTTTTTTAATAAGTGGAATTATTTTTACTTTTATTACTTTTATTTCATTTTTATTTTTAATAAAAAGATGGAGTTAATCAATTTGTGCAGTGAACGACTCATATCATCTAATTGTTGCTTACTAACATATGTTTATATATATTTATAATGTATATTTATAATGAATATGTATGTCATCATTGAATAATTTTAATCTAACCTTTAGAAACTAATTTTTGACCACGTGACCCTCGCATTTTAATAACAAAAATCAAAATAACAGAAAACAAATTGGTTCATTGTATTTTCTACTTGGTAACAAACAGCTTTTGTTTAAAGCATCTTTCCATAGAATAAACAGTTAATAGGTAGTTACGAGCGGTGAAATTAAATAACTCACCCTGTATGTATATTTTTATTATGTTACCTTTAATGTATTACATTTTTAAACCAATTTTATTACACTATAAAAACTTTGATTTATGTACTAAGTAAACAAACTCGTAAAAGCTCTCATGATCTTGATGATCATGAACTCATAAGAATCTCTTACTCTAATGACCTTTATAAAAACACCAAAGTAAACCTAACAAGAAAGGTTCTTTTATGACATCTTTTCTTCGAAATCATTCAAATCGTGTCGTGAATATTTTTCATATCATTAAAATCAGATTTAGCATCCTGCAAAGTGTAACTAATTATACTATACGTACGCGATAATGATATACCGGGTATCCCAGTAACGGTAGTACAACCGTAAGGGGAGTGATTCTACATATAGAAACGAATTGAAAATTGAAAAAAAATAAATAAATAAAATTTTTTTATTCGGAGCTTCGTTTTTGAGAAAGTCGATTTTGAATATTTACCGAGTTGATGTGCACTTAGCTATGGTTTATATAAGTAGACCATCAATGCATGAGTATCGGTGGTACAATCGAGGAGGGTGTGATTTTAGATAAAGAGTGTTATAAGAATTATACTTAACACTAGGTTTACGGACGCTATCTGTATACCTATTTCTAAGGACATCTGTTAAATTAACAAGTAAAGGAAAGCACGTACCTTTTTTTTAACGATTAGTTTAATTTAAAAACAATTATATATTATATATTATATTAATAGTCTTAACCCTTTGCACTCGAGAGGTGCCCTTCGGTCACCATTTGATAAAATTTCAAAGCTCGATATTAATTAACATATCAAATTTAAAATAATGTAACAGTGCGCGAGGTATCGAAATTAAATAATTCTACGTGTTAATTATTATACGATTTCTTATTTAGTGTTCAGAAAAATATCATTAGCTTTATAGCAGAAAATTTTTTATCTCGCACCCTTCTTTAGCCAAAAAATCGTCGAGCGCAAAGGGTTAATATAAGTTAACTAAATCTGTTACCATCGTATAATTGGAGCAACCCTTCCGTCAAATTGAAGGATTCCGTAAATTTAGTGTTAATTAAAGACCAACATTAATTTTCTTAAGAGTACCCTAATATTATAAATCTTTTTATTATTAAATTTTTTCTTTTAATTTATACGTATTATTTTTATTGCTCACATATTTTTATTATACATAAAAATAAAATATTCGAAACAAGTTATTTTGATTCACATGCTTGTTCCAATATCAGTATTTTTATTATTTATTATTTTTATTATTTATCAATATTTTTATTATTAAATTTTTATATATTATTTCTATCATACACGATATTTTTATATATCATATTACACTGTTATAAATGTTTATAAATAAACAAAACAGTTATTAACATAAGCTCGTTTAGTCGGAAAACCCTGTGCATGGTTAAATTTTCGTTGCAATTTTTACCTTCCTTTCAACCTGAAAATCGAAGAAATAAAAGAGAAACCTAGTTGTTAATAGTAGTGTCTCTATTCCGTGAATAATTAAGAATTTCAACTCGAGTAATTTATCCGTCAGGCATAGAAGGTCGCGATTACTTTCTGGGGCACGTATCTTTATAACGCGGTGTGCATTAATAATTACGTATAGGAAACGTTAAATAAAGACGAGAGTACAGAAGCATCTTGTTTGTCTTTGTTTCAGCTCTTTCCACGGCCGCAGAGGATGTGGGAGATGGAATTCAAGGGCACGATAATGACACCGGTAAGTAGAGTTGACAAGTTCAGGCTATTTTCCATAAATTCAATTTATATTACATAAGAAATACACCGAGTGTATTACAAAGAATATCACGCTTTCATCTCGCGACTTTATCGTCCAAGCTATTACCTCGAATCAAGGTCGGTTTACTTCTAGTCAGCACGTTATTCCTCTACGTAATATATGGAATTAGGAAGTTCCATACTCCCACTTCACGAAGTTACCTTGAACGGTGATCTCCATTCTTCTAAATACAATCGTGCATGCTTGCTCCTTATAAACTCGTATCATTGAAAAGCTGTATGAAAGTACAATTCTTATGTAATATATGCATGTGTATTTGTTTCTACGTGTACATATCTTTTGTACTTATTTCTCAGCTTTTTTTCAATTTTCGATTGCTTATGTATATTGCACAGGGGGGATATGAAAGCACGAAAAATGTAAAAAGTGTTATAATATAAACTATAATGCGTAATTATAAACATATTGATAAATATAATAATATTATTACGTGTAATTATAGTACTATTATTGCAATTAAAGTATAATATATTTTTATAATAATTTTCGTGCAATGTGCTATTCATAAGAAATACATATTTATGTATTTATAAGAATTAAGTAGTTATATTTATAAGAAATATTAAAAATACAGAAAAATATATAAGAAAATATAGAATATAGAAAAATATACATTCTACGTTTTTTATATTATTTTTTCTTTTTTTTGTACTTTTACATAACCTTCAATTTCGTTATTCAATTATATATTACGTAACGAGAACATCTAATAAATAATATAGATCGTAATATATAAAAAAATTTTTGAGACACATAGAAAGATATATAAGAAAATATAGAATATAGAAAAATATACATTCTACATTTCGTACATTATTTTTCTTGTACTTTTACATAACCTTCAATTTCGTTATTCAGTTATATATAACGTAACGAGAACACCTAATAAATAATATAGATCATAATATATGAAAAAAATTGTCGAGACACATAGAAAGATATATAAGAAAATATAGAATATAGAAAAATATACATTCTGCATTTTTTATATTATTTCTTTTGTACTTTTACATAACCTTCAATTTCGTTATTCAATTATATATTACGTAACGAGAACACCTAATAAATAATACAGATCGTAATATATAAAAAAAATTTTGGAGACACATGAGATCCAGTTATGTCTTTATTTTGACTGTTCTTAAATCACTTGAGCTAAATCAGCTACCTGTGAAAATTATCGATAGAAAAAATAAAAAATAAGAATGATCAAGTACGTTTATGAACACTGTTAATCTAGCTAATCTAGTTATTTGCGACCAATCTTATATTGGGATTAGTTGATGCGAATTTTATAATTAGTTCGATTTATCTTCTTTCTTGAATAACACGTAATTTAATTCAACTTACAATCTCGAGATTGAATTCGAAAACCAATCGAACTTTTCGGAATTCATGATCGAAGGTTGGTGACCCTGTGTACCAGCATTTTTACGCAAGCGCGTAATTTAAACATAGTAGAATGACAATTTTTATTATAAAGAATAGCACGAATAATGTAAAAATAGAAGTTGAAATTCGTGTATTTGCGTTTGTTTAAATACAGTAATACATTTGTCGTGAAAATTAATAAGCTTTTTGTAGAAAATTCCGCTTGGAAACAACAACTGATTTATTTCTGTTGACTATACCTAGACATAGCGTGCACCTGCCAGACGTAACCTAGACCTAGCCTATACTGTTAATGTGTATCTCGCTTATGCTTAGTCATACCTAACCTAGAACCGACTAATCTGTCAGTTCGGAAGAAACCTAGCCTCTTACGATCACACGAGTGACCTCACACGCGTTGCAAGTCATTACATTTATTTGCAATACCACTTGTGTACACTTTCGTCTATATTATAGGTTATGTGATAGTAATTCATTCTAAACGGACAGTTGTCACTCGATTCTACTAACTTATCTAAAACTATCGATTTGCAATGTGTATCTAATTATTTAGATATGCATAAATAGAAATAATTACACGTGTAATTAGAGAATTATATAACGAAACCATTAATGGGAGAATTATATATTAAATAGTTAAAAATAACGAATTGGATAATAATATATAATATATAATATAGTTACTTCATAATATAGTTATAATACAATATATCATATATAATACGACTACATGACACAATATAATACCATACACAGAATATACTGTGTACACTGTACTGTATTATATATCATACTATACTGTATATAATATCATACTACATATAATACAGTACAATGTACACAGTATATTCTGTGTATTGTATTATATTGTGTCATATAGTCGTATTATATATTGTATATTGTATTATAACTATATAATAGTAAGATATAAAATTACGTTTCTGCCTTCATAAAAGTTAACATTAATTTTGCCAAAACTTAGAGAAATGAGTCATTTTGTATCTGTAGTATGATATATAATATACTGTGTACACTGTACTGTATTATATGTAGTATGATATTATATACAGTATAGTATGATATATAATACAGTACAATGTACACAGTATATTCTGTGTATTGTATTATATTGTGTCATGTAGTCGTATTATATATTGTATATTGTGTTATACCTATATAATAGTTAGATATTATAAAATTACGTTCCTGCCTTCATAAAAGTTAACATTAATTTCGCCAAAACTTAGAGAAATGTGTCATTTTATCTTGCTTGATAATTACTACCATGTTGAAACAAATAATTAAAATTCCCAAATGTTTATTTTATTTTGCACTTTTTTTCAGTAGTGTATATTTTAATACTTCTATCAAAAACTACAGTTTAAATAATTAAATTCACATTGACTATTCATACGTAATAAAAATTCAGAAGAATTGAAATATTATTCTTTAACATTAGGTTTACGGACGCTATCTGTATACCTATTTCAAAGTATACCTATCAAATTGATAGGTAAAGGAAACCACGTGCCTTATTTTTTAACGATTAGTTTAATTTAAAAACAATTATATGTTATATTAACAGTCTTGATATAAGTTAACTAAATCTGTTACATCGTATAATTGGAGCAACCTTTCTGTCAAATTCATGGGTTCCATAAATCTAGTGTCAAATACAATTTCTTAAAGTACAATTCTTTTATATATGAGCTGTTCACTGTACAAATCGATTAACTCCACTTTTAGAAAAATCTTAAATTTAAGTGTCAAAGCACTTGGTATAGTCATAATTACATTATTTTATTACATTTCTCCACTTTTTGTTTTATGAAATTAATCAATTTGTACAGTGAACAGCTTATATGTTGATGCGATTATGACAAACTTCATCTGTACTTTCGTACCACACTCCTTTCTCTGATAACCAAAGTTTTATTACAAAATACATCAGAATCTGTTAAATATTCAATAATATTATTTAATTATCCAAACAAACATCTGATTAAATAAAATACACGATATAATATTTTTTGAAATTATTCTTTTGAAAGGGGTGTGAGCATTCTCTTCACTGTCCAATCTCTCACTGGTCAAAAGTCTGAAAAATTGTTCACAATTATAAAAGATCGATGGAGAATATCATGGAACGATTTCTTGGCGATTTCGTGGCCACAATCTGTAACCTCTAGACGTTTCGATTGTCGAAATAATCTGTCTTCTCGAGGTGGCAGATACCCTATTGTTTCTTGATCCACGTTGGAACTAGTGATCGATATTCCTCGTACGCTTAATCCATCTCTCGTTACGGTTTCCAGTGAATTCCATACAAATCTTATCTGTAATGTCCAATTTGTTGGCCGTACTTTGATTTCGAATCATGGACTTTAGATGCGATATATCTTTTACGTTTGAAGAAAAGGTTAATCGATAATAAGAAAATTCTTGTTTATCTTGCTCTCCTCCGGCCTGATAATTTATGATACGTCGGAAGAGATTGTGCTTGTTTTTATATTACTTTGTCCATATCTGCTAGCATTTCTTACGTGCCATTCCAATCGGTTTTCATCGGGAATTCGTGAAGGGCTACACACTTTTAAGCGGTTACACTTGCCTTACACATACGGTCCAGGGTCGACTAGTCCAGTTCCACGAGTGAACGGCGATTAATACATATTGGTGTATTTATTCTCTAGAGTTTTCGATTGATGCATTCGATTGGCTAAACTTCGCGAGATACGCCATTTAGACCACGGTCATGCGATTGGGAATAATCGACCGATGAGATTCGTTCGTTGTCTTCTTGCGTGCATGCATATGTATGTGTGTGACTGTACGCGCGTGTTCGCAGAGATACACTTATTGCATCGCAATGGTGTGTTGGTGTGTTAGTTGTATTAAGAATGGGATGTTAATATCGATGATATTCGAAGGAACATATGTTTGTTGCGAAATGGATTGGGTATTTAGCTTAGCCTTTGTGAAAATTAATTTGTTTCTGTATTCAATCCGATTCGTATGGGATGTTTGAATGGTTAATGAGTATTACGAAGGTCGTACTTAGTTTAAGTATGATTACGAGTATTTGCGAGTGGCATCAGAGTATTCTTCCAAATTGTATTTTCTCTATTTACATCTGTTGATATGGGGCTTGCTATGTGGATTGACAGAGTATTAAAAATTGAAAGTTATTTGTAATTATTTTTTATTTGTATATTACAGATTTTTGAATTTACGTTTGTTAGTAATGTGGATTGACAGAGTATTAAAAATTGAAAGTTATTTGCAATTATTTTGTTACTTGTATGTTACTGATTTTTGAATTTACGTTTGTTAGTAATGTAGATTGACAGAGTATTAAAAATTGAAAGTTATTTGTAATTATTTTTTATTTGTATGTTACTGATTTTTGAATTTTCGTTTGTTAGTAATGTGGATTGACAGAGTATTAAAAATTGAAAGTTATTTGTAATTATTTTGTTACTGGTATGTTACTGATCTTTGAATTTACATTTATTAGTAATGTAGAT